CCAAAATTTAATTGAGATTGATCTTTTTTATCGAAAGCAAACTTTTCTTAATTTTACCATTTAATTTTCTTCTTGAGAAAGTTCTATTTTCCACGCAAAAATTAAATTTGTTTTCCTCTCTTTTTTTCAAGTTATTCTTCGTAGTTTATCACAATAAGAAGACGATAATCGCTGTCGCTAAAACACCACCAGGTTCCTGCCTTATCCAAACGTAATTAATCCTTATTATTTTTAAATTAGTTGGATATTATTCATTCTAGACGGGGGGCGGGGTGGTTGAAGATTTTTGTAGAAAGTGTTTCTTTTTATTAATTTATTTTGCCGCAAATTTCCACTAATAATAGTCTTGACGTCACAGTGAAGCGAGTCAGAGAATTTCAATCATTATTAGCGAAGCGTCTTTTTGTAACTGATAAAACTTACAGATAATAGAAATGTTATTTTTAAATAAAAAATTCTTGAAGGTGCAAATAAGAACTTTATTCCATATAAATGAATAACACATTGCTTGGTCCATTGTAATGTGCCGGAGAATTTGCATCTGCCAAAACACATGTTGTATAAAATCCTTCTCGAGAGTCATTCATTATCCACTTTCATTGAACATGAGATTAAGAATTTCGAAGTTAGGTTGAATACGTCTATTCTAGGTGAGTTCATTATTGGGACAGCTTCAAAGGACTTTATCGGTCAAAGTTTTAAAAGACGATTCTTGTTGGTTACCCCAGTAGACCTTGTGAGAAATGCCTATGACGGCGGGCTTGATACTTAGTATAGAAGAGAGTTATCACTTTATTAGATAATCGTTAGTTTATTGACACTTTGCTGATACGAAGATGTATTTCCAAAATTATGAAAATTGTAAACTGAAACATGAAGTAAAAATGATATTTCTACTAACCGCTTCGATTCTGCTAAAGATAATCTTCAATTAAATTTCTTTTTATTTCACGTCACAGAAGTATTGCCAATATTTCATTTTTCGGACTTTTGGCCTTTTAATTTGCGATATTGTTAACTTTCAAATGCAGTTGAACTTATTTGTAACATGCAGTATGTAAATATATTTTTCATGCATTTTTCAGAAGCCTTTTCTTTGGTGTCTCTTTGAAGAAGAGCGGTGTCTTAAGGTGTTTTCAATAAGATGTTTGATTTTGACAACCTCCATGTCTGCCAGACCTAGTCAAGGCGGTTATTCTTTCTAATCACCGAATATGAGAAAAAATATTATATCTGCGCCCACTGAATTGTGCCAATGTGTATGGTTAACTATTCATCACCTTTGTGGCATTAAAAATCACTTTAGGGTTTTCAGAAAGTGGGGAAATTTAAGTAAATTACGGCGTTAATAGATTGACTAGCTGGTGCTTGGTCAACGTCTTTGCTAATCAAGTGTTGTAAGTAAAAATATCGGAATGAAAACTTTTTATTAGATCTCCCAGAGCTCTCTTTTTAAGCTATCAGAATTCGTCAAGTGTGTTTCTTTTTGTTCACTTCACATATTAGAAACAATTATTGTTTAAAAGAGCGTATTTTATTGAAATACCTATTGAGTTAAGCACATGCTACGTCATTAAAAGTAGGAAATGTCAATCTTAATTAGATATAACTGAGCCTGGCTTCTAGCATAGTTTTCAAGTTAATAAATGTTGACCTCTAATTTCGTTAACCTTCAAGCCTACTAAGTGAAGTATTGGAAACGACTCCCTTCACTTTCCAACTAGAATCTTAATTACTTAATTAAAAAGTGTTACCAAACACTAATTGAATATTAAAACTGGTCAAGCACTTATCACTAGAAAAATGAAAAAGCAAGTATTTTGCTTCAGAATGAAGTTTTTTGTTGCTATTATGCACACTTTAGAGTTTTCGACAGAGAAATATTTGCTCTAAAGTCCTCCCCATGATTTGAAGCTGAAAGAACGAAACGATGGGCAATTTTACTCTGCAAAAATGAACTCAAATTCATGGGAATGAGAAGTGAATAAGTCCAATTACCAGTCTGACACTTGAAGGCTATTACCTTCACTCAAAACTACTTGCATCAAATATTGACTAAATGCAATTGCAGTAGTAATTAAATTGATAGCTAAACGAGGTGCATAGGTATAAATAGAGCGTGATATTAACATTCAAATCCTGTTAGGCTTTTAAAGATGTAAAATAACCAAAATGATCAAGGTTGTTCATAATTTTTGGCGCTTTAAAGGATCGCAAAGATTGATCTAATATTTATTCGAGAGAAGGTATTTCAATGACAAAGAAGTGGATATATCTGCCAGATGATGGCTCATTGTACTTTAGAGATGAAAAATTCAAGAATACTACTTGGTAAAATGTACCTTTGCCGTGCTAGTTGGTAAGCAATTAGTGAAGTAGTATGAATCGGAATGCCAAGGACCTGTCAAACTGATCGATGTTTACCAGCTTTTAAGACTTAATTGCGAAACAATGTCTAATGTTGACCCAAGTTTAATTAACAAAACGGTGATTTAGGCAAACACTCCCACTGGTTCTTTGATTTGCTAAGGCAGCGCCTGCAAGCAAGTGAATAGGCCTATGCTTAACTGGACACCTGGCGTGGAACATAAGGGTTAGAATAAGACAATGTTACAAGCGTGTCGGACCAAACAAGATGTCATATTTTAATCCATAAAATCCAATATATATTTATAAATAGAAGCAGTAATTATGATCCTACGGTTCAATTAGGCCAGTTAGGTTCCAAATAAGATGTCTGAATACTTCGCGAAGTCAGTTAACTTTTTGCTATTTCACTATCGAAGCACTTTAGTGAAATAGAAGTTGCTTTCAACTCTGTTTATTTGAAATTCCGAGTACATATATTATTCCTAAATTCTTAAGTGAATGAAGAAACTTGAACCGAGGTAACTGAAATTGTCTCCAAGCCGACATTTTGAACCGCTGTTACATGATAGGATTCATATGTAATTTTTAATCAGTTACATACTCATTTTCACGGAAATGGAAAAACGGCGATTCGATATTAATTTGCATTTTTGATGAATGTCCGATAAATGAATTATTTGCCCAGTGTTTTATTTAAACGAGATCATCCACAAATGAGCACCTTAGCAGGCAAAGAACACTCATTTCCTTCAGAAAGCATAAGATTTAAATAAACTTCAATTAAACTTGATTTTCATGTGGAACTTTTCTTAATAATTTTCAGGCTTGTGTATTTTATGATCCAAATTAGGGATGTGCAATAGACTAACCCTTATATGGTGCACTCTGGGCAACGTATACTATACGGCAAAAATATCTGTTAAACGGCAACTGACTTCTGACTTCAAACTACCATGACCCGACTTCCCGTCATATTCGACCGTTTCCACATGTGCTCACCCTACCCTTTACTCTATCTTTGTGTCTGTCTCTTTTTCATCTATGAATCACTCCTCTGTTTCCCTCTCACTAATTTTGTGAGTTTGATGGTCCTCCTCCACTCTGTGAAGCCCAAAGTCAACTAAAGGGCTAGTGGTAACTATCAAAAAGACTGCCATTTGATATAAATAAATAATCTAATTAATATTTATCAGATATATCAACCACGATAGGGAGAGGTCTCACTAATATCAAGTTCCCATGTATTGTCCATTCCATGAATAATGATTGCTATTTGCACCAAATGGCTCAGTGATCCAGATTATGGGAACCAAATGGCCAATTCAATGCAGATAATTCAGCCTTTCTGTTGCTGATGCCTGACCACAAAATTACTTAATGAAGCCTTGGGAAGCCATAACCTTAACCTACTTGAAGTATCTATGATAGATTTACCTCTTGATTCTCCAATGCAAAAACTGTAACAGGAAGTTAATTTCTCCCCAAAAATTCAAATATACTTCGATTTTCATATAGCAATAAATCAACACAGCTTAAACGAATGTTGGTTAATTTTCAAAGTAAAATACAATTAGTAAGCAAGGGATGTAAATGGCCAATGATGACAAAGAAGATTCCGTTTTTTTTGAAAATTAATTTTTGAAAAAAATTGGGAAAATTGTTCTGCAATTCACTAGAGGGATTAAGGCCTGCGTATTTACAATCTAGCTCTATTTATTTTGAATTTTTAAAAAAGGTTGGCAACTGAAATATTTCAACTTTAAAGGATGCGAGTTTACAGCAGTCCCGTGAACAGTCTTCGCACTATTGAGTTGGTGTAAACTAGATTCTGCATTATTAACGATGTCCAAATTAATTTGGCTTAACAGACCACCCCGTAAGGCGTACTGAGTAAACTGCTTAAATGAATTACAAACTGATTCAAACTCTACTCAAATTAACCTCTAAATTGTCATCTTTATTGCGTTAAAATGGTTCAATCATTTGAAAATTACACTTCTATAATAGAAATCCTTTATTTGTTTTTAACTCTTGAACGACTTCATAAACACTTTTTTTCTCGTGAAAAAAATATAATGAAACGTTAGCAATAGGCATTAATTGCTAGCGAATACTTTTTAAAGTCATCCAAAATCTTCCCAATTCGACAGTGAATTTTACAACATTCAATAAGCTAATATTGCTTTGAAATTTTGACTGAATTAAATGCTCTTTCAAGTTTCTAACAATTTTGACAATTAATCCTTAAATGGGAATATTATTTTGAGTTTGGTATTAATAACTTCTTATTTATCTATATGAAATCCCTCAAAAAAGAGTTTGTAGCGGATTGCTACCTTAGTAAAGCCTGACCGACTCAGAAATCTCTATGGCAGATTCTCTTACGTCTAGCTAGACTCCCAGAACCACTGCACTATCTACCCTCGTTAAAGAGAATATGGTGCCTCGTTCGGTAATTAATAAAATCCATGACCCCTTTTTTATTAAACAAGAAGGCTGTAGTCATAAATGTAGATAAAAGGTTTTGAATAAAAAAAGAAATAAGGAATGGTAAATGCAGAATGTATGTACATTGAGAAACGTGGAGCAATTGGTCATTTTGTGCCAAAATTCCGGCACATGTACCTCAATCAAGATTTGGTCAATTTTTCCGAAACCACCTTTAAATCGCCCAAATCGATCGACTGGCTGGGTTTAGTTTTAACTAGCTGGGATTTTAGTGAGTCTCCATCCGCTGCTGTGGATTCTGATGCTTGGTAAGTCAGAATATTAGAATTTGGATCGTTGAAATCATCTTCAAGGGAATGGGGACTTGTGTTCTTCAGCTTTTGACATTTATCAAGGAGTTTAAGGAAGAGATTTGACCGTAGAAATCGTCGGTAGGGATCTTTCTCCATTAGAGCCTCAATGCGTTTTTGACTTGCGTCAAAGAGATCTGGCTCTGCCTGGCTTAATCGCATTTCCGTTTGAATCCGAGTTTCACAATCTAGATTTACCTAAAATAGAAAAAAATTGAATACATTTGAAAAATCGGAATACTACCTCATATCTGAGATGCAGCCTCTAATATTCGAGGTTTTCTCAATGAAAATGGCAGAATTGAAACACTGAAAAAGTTTCTATTTGTTCATGAGATGCCAGTCAAACTCATTTGTAACGGACGTTTAGGCTCATTAAATAGGTTAGACAATAGCTCAAAAGAGCAATATGCAAACACAAGTGTTTCACAACTACTTAACCCCTGAGAAATATTTGTAAGGCCAGCCATTCTTGCAATAATTTACGAGTCAATAAGCATGTGAGTGGACTCTCAGCCTAGTTGGACTAAACTGAAGAACCGGTGAACATGCAGAGTCGGCCAATGGTGAAACTGAGATGGGACCGCCATTACCTGTTGTGGTGGTTCTGTGCTTATAAACGCGTTGCCTGCAACTTTTTTTACAACTGTATTTCTAATACCCAGTCAATTTGTTTAACTAAGAGCAAAAATGTGTTTTTTGATTAATCTAATGTAGTTTTGTATTTTCTGGTCTCATTGAACTAAATTGAATAACTGGCAGAACAACTGAATTGGCTAGAGATGAGAAAGTTTCGAAGTGTGAAATTTCTTTTTTTTTTAAATTAACGTTTTTTCCAATTTTTACTATTCAAACACTCTGACTGCTTTCTGTTTCCGGAAAAGTGAAGATTTATTGAAATCTCCTCCCCACCTCTCACTCCACCCCAACCCCCTCCCCCCCCCCCCCCCCCATCCAGTTAAGAGTAAATAGGAGTTTGCTATACGTAACTCACGGAAATCATTGTGAAAGTTTCATGAGTTAGAAATTCAGTTTTGATCGAACCGTCAATTGCAAATATTACTCATTTAATATATCAGTTTTAAAAATTTGCGTTGAATTATTATACTTCCTGTTATACTATTAAAGCCTACTGTTAAAGTAGATTCCAGTAAGTAAAAATCATAGAGACAACACGATGATGACGCCAAAGAATGCTTAGGCATACAAGTGCATTATATTAATACTTTCTTGGCGCCTGAATAATTATTGAGAACTAATTAGCATAGGGACTTACTTGTTTGTCAATTATATAAAATTGTTTTATTTAAAATGAGCAATAGAAGAAGGAATATATTATTATTGTCTTTAACTCAAATAGGAGCAATTGGAATATGCTTAAAAAAATATTGTCATATTCTTTGAGTCCTTAAATACGCATTCGGATGTACTGAGATGCATAAATGTGCATTTTTTGCGCGTTTTCATTCTCTCCTTCAATCACATTATATTTATTGAATTTGAATTTATTTAGTAATTATGGACATTTATTGAATTGTATTATTTAATAGCAGGGCTTAGATTGCTGATTTCTTTAATAGTATTCTACTGAAACTACATATAACAGTATCGAGCTTGTTCACGGGAGACTTCCAAACGACTAATTAGATGAAGTGTTTATTGCCTAGCACAGTCTTATCAGATCTAATTCAACTGTAAGCTATAGCTAAATTGCTAAGACTATCAAGATGGTGCGCATTGCGACTGGTAATAACGAATAACATATAACACGTTTAATGATTTTCATCGAGCGAGAAATTATGGCTATTGGTGCATTCAATAAAACATCCAATCAAATTTCTTTTACAATAAGGCAAAATAAAACACTCTGGAAATTTATTTTTCACGACAGATAGGGTTATGAAAGATGCGTCATGCTCAAAAAACCTGAAATGGAAACTAAGTTAAAGAACCACCTCAAGAATTAATTTAGATGAACCAAAATTAGTTCCTTATCATTAACTAGACAACTAGTAAATTTTTTAAATGAACTTAACAGTCCTTTTTTGGTCAAATGCTTTTCTGATTTTGGTTTTGTGAGGCAATGAAAAGCATGGTATCGGTTAATTAGATCATCATTAGAGTACTCTAATCCGTAGCACTACAGCAATTTCTCTCAAATATATTCCGAAAAATCAATTTATTTTCAAATTATAGTTATTGGAATTACTTTATTCCAAACGACACTGATTATGCTTTTAGGTAGTTCTGAGTGTGCGTAATTTGCGAGGAGGTTCTCGCAATTTCTGCTAAATGAATCGAAACGTCCGTTTGAATGAAATGCTCTTTCAATCCGCCTCAAACATATGAATAGCACTACATTTAGCTCTCCTCAAATTGGAAAATTATTTTCAAACGGTCGAACTTGTGAATTGATTTAACTTCCCTACTTCTCATGTACGGCATTAATCCCTAGTTTAGTAATAATGCATGAAAGTGTACCATCAAAGGAAAAGATGATGTTTGCGTATTGGAACTTACTTTTCTATTCAACACGGATACCAATATAGCGAAATTTTTATTCACTCACCTCTCTTTGTGATTGGAAGGCAATGAACCCATCGTATATTTCTTGAGCTCTTTGCTTTCGTATGAATACGTCTGTGAGATATTTGTACTTTTGACAGGCTATCCAAAATTCGAGATTTTCATCACTGAATTCACCCTGGAGAAATTCCCGAAAGATCAGTATGCCATCTGAAATTAAAGTGCAATATGAGAACCATTAATAAACGCACAATTATTAGCATTTCCTTTATTACAAATGTAAAAAAATATTTTTATAGCCCCTAACTCGTTCATTGGCAACACCCACCATCGCTAACTCTGTCCGTGTTCTTTACGCACACATTTAAGTAGATTTCACCTTCTTTGCACAAACGAGTGTATAATTAGTGACATTCAAATGAGGATTCGCGCAATTTTGTTTTATTGTTTGCCTATTGCATGCAATTATTAGACAAGTTGTCCAGGAGTTTATTGAAGTTGCTTTATTTAGCAATCAAGTTATGTTATTTAAAGTGCAAGTAAACATGACTTCACGCAGAGAGAATTTGCATGCGGTGGTTTATTTCATGACAACATTAATCGGTAAATTGCCTAATTTGAGAAGTAAGGATGAAAGCAAAAGAGCTTGGGTGATTCCACTTTTATTTGCACTATAAAATTAGAATAAAATTTTGATCTATAGTCAATGGTTTTGTGGAGTAGAGGAGGAAACAACTTATTACGGACTTTGAGGTAAATGTGCGTCTATTTTGCTACTGAAGAAAAAGGGGACGCTTGATGAATCCATTATCTTTAAACTGCCAAGACACGATCTTTGCGTAATAGTGAGAGTTAGATAACGAGGTGCAATAGTTCATAAAGTAAAGATTTCTATTCCTTTGCATAGGAGAAAGTAAAATGTCTCGATGGCTAAGAATGCTATGTCTAGAAGCATTTAAAGAATAGACCTTGGCTAGAGTTAGATACTGAAGACTAAATGAAACGTAATTGATTTCAATTGCATCATTTTTTCTTTAAGAGCAAAGGTCAAAATGTTATTATTCACTATATATACCGATTTTGATATTTGGTAGCAAAATTGACACTATTTTCAGTAATGCAAGTGCATTAATTTTAATCAAATCCAAAATAGCATATGAATATTCATTAGGAGCAAATATGACCAAATTGCCTCTAAAATTGGAGCAAATGTGGGCGGACTCTGAGTACACATCCAAATCACATATTTTTGTGCTTATTCCGATGTCTTTGTAACAAGACTTCTTCACTGGAATGAATCACATCTTCAATCACATCGCTTAGTGCTAATTAGTGCTTATTTGATTTTGAAATTCACTCGATCCCCCTGAAAGGTGACTTTACTCTAGTAACATTGAATTTAAATTTGGAAATTTTTTTCGATCCAAAAATCCAATAGGAATAGCGTTTCCTTACGTTCGTCCTGAAGAAGATTCTGGAAGGAATGTTGCCAACAAGAGACCTGCTGATACGTAGGCCAGGAAATTTGGAAGAGATTTGTTAGTGTTCGTCGAAGTGCGGCTTCTTCAGTGTCCATGCCGCTTGAGGTGGGCGAGGAGGAATAAGACTTTTGATTTGTCGTATCTTCCGATTGCTTTTGATGCCGAAGAGCAGCTGCAGCCGCCTGCCGCCAAAAACTGGATATTTTACCTTTCACGTTCGTCGTTCTATGGAAAAAATACTTGGTCGAATGTCACATGTCAAAATGTCATTAATAAAGACACGATCATGTAGAGAAATGAAATAAATGTCTCAAATCTCACTAATCAAACACTCCAAGCCATAGCCTTAACTACTTTTCGAATATTTGTAATATTTACTCTGTTTTTAAATGAAATATAGTAGATTATATTCCTCATGATAATGAAAGCAGTGGCGTTCTTTAAAATATGCAGTTATTTTTGCATGAAAGCATTCTTAAAAAGAGATATAATGCTAATTTTTTCTCTGAAGTAGTAATTCAAATTAGTTCAAACTAAGTAATCGTTCGAAAATTTTCCAATTTACATTTCCTTACTCAAAAGCCCTTGCACTTTGAATTTTCAATATTTTAGATCCACGCCTTTTTCTAATCTAAGCTTCAGCAAAAAAAATCAAGGCTGACACATTTTTGTTGCTAAAAATGGCTATAGGTCGGCGAATTTATGTTAATTCGTAATTAATGGAAGATAATATCTTTAAAAATTAACTTTTAATAAAGTCAAAGCAACACGCCCAAATTGGTTCATTTTGTGTGAAAGTTAATTTTGTTGCAATTCATAAATTAAAATTGTTGCAAACTCTGGAAGCATAATTTGTCTTTTAAAGGAAAGTGAAGGCTTGCAATTATCCGATTGTTCTAGAAAAATTAGCAAAAAGAACATTGTGTACAATGAACGTTTTTTCTAAAATTTGAGTCGAAAATCTTTTTAGGAGAAATAAAAATGTCATCCTTAAAGTTATCTTTTAAATAATTTTCCGCTTATTAATATAATATAATTTTTTTTAAATTTCGCAACAATGTCTCAAAGTCATTGCAAACAAAATAATATCTAATATATATATTAAAATTCAAAATGCTAAAATGGTTTGATTACTTAATTTAGTGATTTTAGAATTAGTGCTTAATTAAAACCCTTTCGCACAAAATTTTAATCTGCTTGTTGGAATAGTATTTAAAAAATTCTTTAGCAGTAAAAATATAACGTGTCTCGATTTTTATAATTTTCTTTATACTTTGAATTGAGCCTGTCAAAAATTAATAGTTAAATGTTCCTCTAATAATATATATGTATATATATATATATATATATAAATCTACCTATTCATATGGATATATAAGCAAGCTTTTACTCGATAGCAATCTTTAATCTTTAATCTTTAAATTAAAAAGTTACTAACATTCTGACAGGATTAAAATTCGCCTCAATAAAAAACGTTCTTTCATTATTTCTGAAAAGGGACATTCAAATCTTTCTGCTATGCTTTGGAAATAGGCCCAAAAGAGCATATCCGATAAATATAGCATCTGAAGGAGAACCTCTCTTATCTCATTATTGATAATTCAGCGTTCCGTAAGTTAAATCCAGTTTCAATCCCTGCTTTCCTAACAGATTTTCTCCTTTTATGCCTTATTTTGTTTGCTATCTTACACATTATCAAAGCCCTCTTCTTATGTTTTATTAATATCAACGTAAATTGAAATATTAATTACAGAATATTAACAAGACCTCTCCTTCATTACAACGATTACCTGTTTTAAAATTGCATTATCTTTGGCTTCATTTCAATTTCATTAGAAAAGAATCTTTTTGAATAACTACTAATTGGGAAAAAACTGCAAAAAATTGGATGGGCGATAGACTTATCTCCACGTGGTGCACTCTGAGCAACGTATACTCATACGGCAAAAAAGTCTTTAAACCGGCAGTTGACTTCTGACTTCAAACTTCCATCGCCCCACAGTATGTCATATTCGACTACTTCCACAGTACTCGTATCACATTGTTTTCTAAATTTTCAACCTTCGTCTTTGAAACACTCTTCTTTTTCTAAATTTTCAACCTTCGTCTTTGAAACACTCTTCTGTTTCCCTCTCCTCGACTTTTGTTCACTTTGATGTTCCTTCCTCTCTGTGAAGCCCGTAGTCAACTAAAGGGCTATTGATGACAATCAAAACGCCTACCATTTGATATAAATAAATAAAATTCATCAATATTTTGTTAAATTTAATGAATTAGTGACGATTATGATGCAATTTTAAATCAACATATTAAATATTATCTTACCTAAAATTTTGATTGAAAGAGACAATTCTACCTAGAGAGGCCCTTATATTAATTTTACCTAACCGCCATCTTTATGCAGGACCCGAATGGATTTGTTATTAGCCAAAGAAAGACCCCAAATACGACAGGGATTAAAGCTCAAGACCGCGCCATTGATGCATAGAAAGAGGGAGGTTTTGAACGCTTTGTCGTTTGAAGGAGTCTATGATTTTACTTCTGGATGTCTCCAGTTAAAGGCTGCCAAATGTGCTTGAACAATTTTCATGTCTGCTTAAATGCCTTCCTCTTATAATACCAAAGTCAGATAACTTAGAGGCAGCTAAATACGTAGGGTCAATTTTGTTAACAAAACCGCTGGGATAAAAGTAGCATCATTTCATGATTTAACTGTAAATAAGATCACTAATAATTTAGCTTTACCAACAACATAGCAGTGTACTTCTTACATTCTTAGACAAAATTTCATGTTTTTTCGTAAAGTAATATTAACTAATGCTTCTGGCTATTTCTCCATAAAGATGTCTAACCACGTTTGACGGGAGAGCTCATTGCCTGAAGCATATCAGTCAAAATAAAACCTGTTTTTTATTAATTGTAGTGTCTAGTTTAAAATTTACTTACGGTTAAGAACAATTGTTTGTTTGTATTGTTTTTTAAACATGTTTTTTTTCACCATAGTTCAGTGAAGTTGCAAGGAATTGATAAAATGTTATTAATGTTATTACGATTTCACACATTAAATAAGTAAATTTCCTTTAAGTCGGTTTAGCAATTGATCTACGCTTATTGGTAATAAAAAAATAACTATTTTTAATTCTATCCATTAAAAGCAATAATTAATTCATTTTTCAGTTATGTAGAATGCATGTTAAAATTGCGTATATATTTAAATATCAATGATGCAATTTAGTCAAAATGTGCTCATCTAACAAATTCTGAAATTTTTATTTAAAGCTCTTGCTAATTGGCGGTAAAATTTATTATGCCCATTCAAATTCAATTTTCAGCTCTCATTTTTACTTTCTATGTTATTTCCTGATAAGTAATTCGTGGTATAGTTTACACGGCTCAAGATCAATCGGAATACCTAAAATAGTTTGCATTATGAGGCATATATTTAGCAAAGTTGTCGACCATTTAAACTGTTTGCAGTAGTAGATCATAATTTATGTTCATCATATAAGGTCGTCTGTCAGAGCGGCTTAGCGTCACAAACATTGTATTTGCATTACCTTCATCAGAGGGTAGTAGAATTCTAATTGGCTATTTAATATTATGCCTTAAGGTTTTTCATGAATATTAGACGAATACGGAATTTCGTTAACAAATGATTTTAGCCTCGCTTTTCAAAGAATTTTTAATATTCCAATACCTTATGTACGAAATTCGGCTTGCAACTAAATCGAAAGGCTACATTGAATCAATAAGTTGCCCTTTCAGGAGTAAAACTGTTACTTGTTAAAATATTCATGAACAACATTTTGAACTGAACGACTCCTACTTCGGTCAATATTTTTTGTAGTCGCCTCATATTAACAAAATATGTCCAAAAATAATTTTGTATCTCTCTAAATAATTATTTTGCCTAAATAAATGGATTTCGATCAAAATAATATTTCTAAGCATGCAAGTATCTATTATTTTGAAATATATTGGCTTACATTTTATAAGAAATATAATTCTAAATTTAGGCAGTGTCGGTAAACAATCTTAATACTAAGGCTAGCAAACAAAAATAGTAAATATTATTCCGACAAATACTGCTCAATGTCACTTTATATAATTAGCATCTGGAGATAAGGCGTCAGATATTTAAGTATTTGAAGTGAGGAACATACAAAATATTTTTGTAAGCTTAACTAGCTTTTTTGAATAGCTTAATTCAAATGCATATCTATGAAATCTGATCCTTTGAAGTAATTTCATTTGAATTTAAACAAGTGTCTCCATTAAATAATAAATTATATGTATCTTATCAATTAGCGTAGGCGAATATAGAACAGCTTGTAAACTGTGTTTTGAAAAGTGGTCTTTGCAAAAATGCATTTTTCTGATTCATGTTCATACAACCCAACCACTCAACAGTTTTACGACACCACATTAATCAAGCAAGCCATGAACTTCCAGATGAGTGTTCATTTCTCACCTTCTTGTGTATCACTTACTTGCTAAACAGGTTCTGCTTTACCTCTCTCTCTCTTGTCTTTTTTTGCAACAATCGAAATTCATTGGAAACCATCGTAACAGTATTTACTTGACAAGTGCTATCAACTTATTTTCTAACATAAATAAAGCCTTGATTGGTAGCAGGATCATTTATTTTACCCTAAGAGAAACGCATAATGGTTGTTTAAACAGGATTCATTCGAAATAAACTTTAAATGCCACGTTAAGGCAATTTAAGCTTTAAAATGTAGCTCCAGATTTCTAAGAAGTCATAATTTACAAAGTATTGTTATAGTAGTTGCAGGAGTTTCCATTTGGTTTGAGAATTAGCTTAAAAAAGGCAAGCCCCAGCTTCTTTATAAGTCTTAAGTGCATCTTACACACAAATAGTCCGCCTCTCTTTATTAAATGTACTTTTAATTTTTAAGTTACGTTACTAATAAAAGCCTTAATAACAAAATGAACGGACATTAAGTCGTATTCTCAATGTGGTGAATTAATAGTTTTTACTCTCAAAGAAGTAAAATAAATTAACCCTGCACAAAATCCTTGAAAACTCCAAAGTGAATTACAATTGGACCTTTGCAGTTGCATGCATCAAATACGAAAGCGCAGAATTCTTGGAGTAACTCTGATGGTTTATAAATTTTATTGTACTTTAAATTAACTATAACTTATTATTAACCGTCAAACTGAGTCCAAATTTACCATGAAAAATTCTTTTTCTTCTAAAATTCAAGCCATTTTTTTGCTAAATGTTTTTGGTCCACATTTTTTGATAAACAGCCGCAGAAATTCCAAATATGTAAACTGAGACTCCCAAGGAATCAGCTCCCTCTACTAAGAACTCCACTCCGTTTCTGTGATATAAAGCCGCTGCCAGGCAATAAATTAATCCAGCAAACAGAGCAAACAATGACGTTGGAGGGCGTCCGCTGAGTTTGCAAAGACTAGCAACAATCGAATCAAGTGGAAGGAGATTCTGTACACTTGCGGCACAGAGTTGCACAGTCGCCATGAATTCAACCGCATTCACCATTTCGCCTTTGTCTTTGTGAACAGCGTTTACGTAGAGGAAGTAAAAGAGAAGAAATACGTGCGCTTGAACAAGTAAATAACTGTCTTTGGTGCACATGGTAGCGAATAATATGTAGCACAAATTTAAAAAGCAAATGAATAGGAAAACATAGTAGAAGAGCGTTTTTTCATTTTCAATATAATGATTTAAAAATGCCTCATTATAAGCAATGAAACATCCCAAAAGATATGTGGTAATTGTAATTCCAGAGGCATATTGCGTTGTATAGATTATTTTGCATTCAAATAGTCCAATGAGTGCATTGATAATTGCTGTTGTCATATAAAACTTAGCAAATGTATCATTACATAAGCTTCCGAATAAACTCATGTCTAAATTACTGCTACTTTTGGCATTATTTTATTGCATGTATTGATTTTCAAATTGCCTTAATTGCTTAATCAATTTTACTCTTTTAGTAATTTTTTTGACAGAAGTAGAAGTGAATCATGTATATGACAAGGAGTTTTGATTTGCTGATTTTAATTTAAGAAAGATACCAAAGATGTTCATTTCATCTTTTGCAAGTTTTTGAATATAACTTTTGAAAAATTTTGCTAGATTGATTGTATGTAATACAGTGAATAAACCAGGAACACTGAAGAGCTTGCAAAATCAAAATATTTGCTTACTGAAGATTACTAAAGACAATTTCCGCATTGTTTACTTTCATTTTTTAATTAGTTTGAAGTTCCTTTGACTGGGTGGATCAAAATAGACTTGAATTTTCAATTACAGTTAATGGGATGAAAATTGAATTATAAATGCATAGAAACAAAAAGCATAATTAAATCAAATTTTTGCCACTTATTGATTTGTTTATATTTAGCACGATTAAAACAAGCATAATTATAATTGACTCAATATCATTTAGACATATACTAACTCCTGTCTGTGAGGTCTCTATTATAAGGCCATTAGCCCATTACCCTGCACCTATTGTGAATTGACAATCAGCTGAAAATTTACTCTCCACCCACACACTGCCTTATTGTACCTCATTTCACCTTCTACTCAAAACCCAATTGTTTCTCATTCCATACCAATGACTTTTCTGGTCTCCTCGTAACCTATTGAAAATCCACAATCCAAGTGGTCATATTTTACCCTTTGTATTCTCACGGAGAAAATTGTTTCTTCGTCTGTTGTTCCAGGAAGGATTAATAAATTTCTATCTAAACTTATATACATATATGTATGTGTAGCTCAAGAATTCCTCAATTTTTGATTCATCGTTTATTCAAAAAATTTAAAAAGTATTTAAATTTTAAATAAGAACCTTTTGCTAGTGTTTCGTCTGACTGAGTCGCCATAATAATGAATGCGCTTAGCTAAAGTATTGGAAGCAAGTTTATAAAATAATATAAATCAGTCTTCGGCAAAAAACCCGTTATAATTACCAATTTTATTTGTTATCAATATATTAGTATCAATAAGATAAATAAACGAATTTGTGGTTTTCTAGGTGATTTAATGATTAATCACTAGCGTTTGATGAAATTTGAAGTAATATAAGGAAACTGATTTTCTTCCGAAAGAACATTTTATTTCATTCACTAAGTACGCATACATTGATCACCTCAGTATCTTAAATTCAAATATTAAAGTCAGTGTTAAAATTTTTCGATTAATGTATATGAAAACAAACTGAGCGCATGCCTTATCTATATCTAAATTTCATGCCCAACCATTGAATTGATTTCTTCAATTTAAGCAGAACTAATTTACTTGAAATTATTAAAAAAGAAGGAACTTCACTCTAAAATTCACCATTATAGTGTGGTAATTAAAGCTGACAATTTGGATGTCAATTGAGTATTAATTAATATTAATATTGCAGTTTTATCAAACTAAATATATTAAAAACACACACGAAGAAATTGTTTCTTCAAAAGTGATAAAAATAGGTGACCTACAGGACTCGTATACAGAAAACATTTACTGAAGAAATTTTTTTACTTATCTTCTAGCTCAACGACATAGAGTACGATTTTACTCGAAATCTCCATGTTTTGTGATGCATTTTAAAGCAACAAAAGTACGATCGTTCAGCATGATTGCTTTCATCCACTTACTAATTAAATAGCCACGGTCACTTTAGAATGTTAAGGCTATGCATATGCCTTTAAAAAACAATTTTTCAATTTAATATTATCTAAAATTGCTCATTTGTATTTATCAAAAGTAGAATTAAAAAAAGTTGATTGTAGACTTAAGAATTCGGAGTGCCATGTAATATGGCAACATGTCTGAGCTGAATAGAGTTAGTGCTAAAAGAGATCAGTGAAGTTTGAACACCAAAGCTGAGTATTGATCAAACTCATCATGTTAGAAGATTGCGAACTTTATAGAGTGTATTTTATGTCCTCTGAATATCCTTGAATCGGCTTTCAACTAAAAATCTATATTTCAAAACATTTGATTCAATAAAGAGTGTATATAATGCAGCAAAAATTCTCGCTATTTCCACAATTTTCCGTTAGTATCATAAAAAAAGGAAAATAAATAATACGTGCCGATTTTATGTTGCAATATATACATATATAATGAAAAAATATGGACAATAAATTGTATGTTTCTAAACTCACAGATTTTGCTATTATTGTTGTTATCTCTATGAGTAAAAAATTCTTACTTGGTATTACTTTAAATGTTCAACTTCCTTCTTGCCCCTATTTTATGTTCAACTTAAATGCTTGAAATGGGTTGGGAGAGGTTATTCGAGGGATAAGATCAGTCGAGCGGGATATATGGCCCAAATTTATGCATGCAGAGGAAGAATTTAATGGGTCTTATTTGGCGTTTTGCATTAAATTGTAAATTGATGTCAATTTAAACCAATAGTCCAGAAGCTAAATTACTTCAAATGTTGATTTTTTTGTTAAAAGATTTATTCTAGTCTCATACTTTGTATCACTTGAATTAAACGTTGAGTACTTAGAAAATAAAAGGGGTTATTAGTACTAATAAATTAGTTTAACTACAGGAAATATTATCTAAATATGAATATTGACAAATTCGAACTTACTTTTTCTTTGAATTTCCGGTCGTATTTAAAGTTTTCAAATCCAAATCAGAGAGCGCTTGAGCCCTATTTTCATTGGCAAATATCCATGGAACAGACATTCTTTGAAGTGCCTCTGAAGGATGGGAAGGCTCCTTCAGCAGATTGGGCCAAATTTCTTCCTTGATCTAATGGGAACAGGCAAGTGGCCATATCATGAATCCGCTATAACTCCGTGATTAGTTAATTATTAATTCATTAGGCATGGGGTGCGCAATAGACTTACCTCCACGTGGTTTCACCCTGGACAACGTATACTTATACGGCAAAAAAGTCTATTGATCGGCAGTTGACTTCTGACTTCAAACTACTATGACCTGACTATTTGTCATATTCGACCCCTTCCAAAGTACCCATCTTACCTTTTTTATGGCTTTGTGTCTATCTGTCTGTCTCTTTTACATCTGTGAATCACTCTTCTGTTCCCCCATCTCGACTTTTTGTCACTTCGATGTTCCTTCTCCTCTCTGTGAAGCCCCGAAGTCAGCTCCAGGGCTAATGATAACTGTAAAAACAACTGCCACTTGCTATAAATAATTCATTAGGCATTTAAGGTTTAGATTCGGCAATCACTATTTTTAATTAAAAAATTCTTGTATTAAGGGGGGAGATTTGCAGGTTGAGGGAGGGTTCTCTGATGTGATATTCGAGTTCCCCTAGCCGGCTTTTTTTCAAAATTTAACTTGTGCCCTGAGTTGCCAGATCTCCGTTAATGTTCTTATCAGATGAGCCCCAGATTTGCCCCAATGGGGTTTTTAGACTCTCATATCAGCCATCAACAAATGCCCAATTCATTGGATTAAATCACAATTGTCATAATGATTTTATAAAATATAAAGCGAAATTATCTAATGGACAATTGAAAAGAGCTCATTAGAGTAAAAATACCACGTCACTGTTTAGTTTGAAGAGAAAACTTATTAGGGAATTAAAAGTAAATCCACAGTATCACATGCGTTATGGCTCTTCCAAATGGTTGAAAATTGTCATCACAACATGTCTTGATTTTCCAAGTTTTAATCTTTCACACTTGGCATCTAAATTATTAAAGAACCATACGTATTTGACTAATTGACCAATTTGGGAAGTATTTATTGCTAATTAGAGAAACTACTTTTTGATTAATTAATACTAACATGTTGAAAAAGTCAACATTCTTAAATTCGGTTGGTCACTATTTTATAGGAAAGATTTTGTCTTTTTTGGGAAATATATGAAAGAGAAGTGTATAATCCTGCATATACTCATCTAAAGGTCTAATTTTCATTTAATTAGCAATAAAAATTATTTAAATAAGGGAGATTAGGATTTTCTTAATTTGAAAGACTGATTTGCAGCACATTTATTCTTAACCGTGGCAGTGTATCAGGACCAAAAGTTAATTAGAAAATCACATGATCAATACTTATAATCATTTCTCAAAAAGGTAAATTTTCAAATTTCCATGGAGCTGAAATAGTTTTTTGACTTTTTCATCTTCATCGGATTAATTAATGCAGCTTAGTTAATTGAGCTTAGATAAAATGACTGAAAAGCAGATGACATTTTCCGTAGAATAGAGAATCGTAGATGGCTTTTTATGGTAAATTAGTATTAGGTTCACGGAGAATTAATTTTAATTAAGTTGAGTAAATCAAATATAATTAGGAAATCCCATAACGAACAATTAATTAGAAAATGAAAGTAAAAGGTAATTACACAAATTAAAGAAAGGTGTTGAATTATCTTCACTTTAACCCATAACAATGCAGCGACCAGTCAAATACACTTATGAAAAATCAAAAAACAATAAAACATAATCAATAAATAAATATTTTAAATGTAAATTTCGACAAATGCAATGATTTACTCTCTTCTCAATCGACTGCCGTAAAGGAAATTATTGATGCATAATAGAATAAAAATATAAGGCAAAGTTTAGATAATAGATAGATAATTACACCTAAAAACTATCATCATAGGAAAAAACTCAATTTTTATCAGATTTAGAGTGACTTCCGGTATAGTAAAATCAGGTAAAAAATTTAAGTTTTACATTGACTGCTGTTGAAAGCTACTCTCATTTTATCTTAAATATTTTTGTCAAAATCTAGGAATATCTCCCAAATAAACATTTCACTCCATCATTTTATTTAAGGCAATAAATTGCGCATTTACCAAAAGGTTAAATGTAGAAATTTTAAAGTCCACCCCCTCCCTCCCCACCCCCTATTAATAATAATATTTCGTGATTTGGCAGTTGAACTTATATGCCTGCCTGCATGTGGCCGGGCATAAAGTTCAATGAGGGGTTTCAAAAGAACAATACCGATTTCCGTAACAACTTACCGGTCTGGAGTCGGATGAATTTGATTCTTGTTGCCTATTTTCCCCAGCGGTGGCCTTAGCCTTCTTCTCATGCAAAGCACTGAGCTGTATTCGAATAAGTTTAACCCAACCCATTCGCTTGCTATTAGATTCCTTCAAATGCGTCTCCTCTTGAGATACCTCCCTGTCTCGAGTGTAGGCATTCTCGGATTTCGACAACGAGTCATTGGAATTTTTCTTCTCACTATCAACCAAATTAATTTCAGAAGTTGATCTGGAGGGAATATTAAGAAGTAGGACAGGTTGAAGAAGCTGATTTTGTCTGGTGACTCGTTCTGGGGAGCCGCCATAAAAGGAGACGGGACTTGCGGACCGCGATTCATTTTTAATCTTTACATCAGGCTCGGAGGTGCATAATTCTGAAGGGAAAGTGGAGCTTGGTGAAGTCATGACATATAGTCTTCGTGATGAGTTGGAACGGGGATTTTTATCATCGGAAATGTTTAGAGTGCTTTCACTAGCTGTAAACACATATACTAAGATTACACTCGTGGTCTGTCACAGCAGTGGTTTATCGGCGTTTCTGATTGGCTAGTGGACAGAGCGATTCGGGTTGGTTCATTCTTTGTGATATTCGTCTCTTTGCAAATTGCAGTCAGCTGTCTATCATTCCGATTTATCCATTAAGTCAACAACGCAATTTATGTTTGATAATTTATACATTATGCTACTTGTGATAGGAATATTTAAGCCACTGATTGAATTATTTTTCTAAAATTACTGCCTTTTTATTACACTGACATTAAATTCCTTGGCACTAGCTAAATAAATTTAATCGAAATATCTTAAGCTATATTTGTGTAGCTCTATACTATTGTTAATACTAAATATAGGTAATGCCTATCAGACGTTCAGTGAGAGAGAATTTGAGAATATAACAAATAAGCTAAGAAGAAATTTATCTCACAAGCCATTCAACATCGAAAACACTTTAAATTGATTTCGATTTCACTGAATTAATTAAAAATGAGAATGAATTAGTGAAAATAGAACCACAATGCTTTTGATAATGCTTTCCATTGGTAGAGGTCCTTGTTTGTTAGATGGGAACTTGGAGATATGTAAGTGCATAAATTCAGACTTCCCAGGTCTAATATATTGAGATATGTCTGAGGAAAGTAAATTATGAGGACTCTGTCATACGTTTGTATAAAATAGCAGACGTTTTGATAGTTATCATTAGCCCTGTAGTTGACTGCAGGCTTCATGAAGGGGAGGAACAGACAAAGGAGAAAACAGTCGAGAGGGGGGAACAGAAGAGTGATTCAAAGATGCAAATAGACAGACGGACAAATGGCTGAGAGAAGGGAAGATGAGTACTATGGAAGTGGTTGAATATGACAAACAGTGGGGTAATAGTAGTCTAAAGTCAACTGCCTCTTAATGGACTTATTTGCTATATGAGTATACGTTACCCAGGGTAGTATCACTGAATATGAAAAGGGGTGCGGTGACTTACCTCCATGTGGTGCACCCTGGGCAACATATTCTCATACGGCAAAAAGTCAATTAACCGGCAGTTGACTTCTGACTTCAAATTGCCATGACCCCATTGTATGCCATTTCGACCACTTCTACCGTATTAATCTTACCTTTTCTCTGCCTTTATGTCTGTGTGTCTGTCTCTTTAACATCTTCGAATCACTCTTCTATTCCCCCTATTCACTTTTCTCATTTTGAATGAAGCCCGAAGTCAGCAAAGGGGCTAATGACAAGTGTGATAAAGCCAGCCATTTGAAATAAATATAAATGAATAGGAATTCAAGTCATAACGATATGATATTAATGAATCCCCACCTCAATCACATTTTTTTCAATGTTAAAGGAAATATTGGGTTGGCAACTAAGTCATTGCCGTTTTTGTTGACAGATTCACTCTATACTTTCTTTTGTTTTGTTAACGTGGCCTGAGCATCTAACCTATATTTTTTTCTTACTGTATGGACTTCTAGGTTAATTAGTAAAAATTTTTTTTGTTTAGTTCTTTAATTTTGTTTTTATCCCAATTTAAAAATGAAAGAACAGGATGTGCACTTCCGACACATTTTATTGTATTACTTCCGAAAAGGCAAGAACGCATCGCAAGCACAAAAGAAGTTATGTGCCGTATATGGAGATGAAGCCTTCAAAGAAAGGCAGTGTCGAAATTGGTTTGAAAGATTTCGTTCCGGTGATTTTTCACTGAAAAATTCACAACGATCTGGCCGCCCAGTCGAAGTGGATGAAACCCATATCAAGGCCATTATCGATTCAAATCGTCACAGCACAACACGAGATATTGCAGAGAAGCTGCTCAATGTGTCGCATATATGCATTGAAAAAAAATGAAAAACCCTTGGTTATGTCAAGAAACTTGATTTATGGATCCCTCACCAGCAGTTAAAGGAAATTCATTTGACGCAACGGATTAGCATCTGTGATTCGCTACTGAAACGCAATGAGAATGATCCATTTCTGAAGAACCTAGTTACTGGCGACGAAAAGTGGATAGTTTATAACAATGTTACTGGCAAGAGGTCATGGGTGAAGCAAGATCAACCAGCCCAAACAGTATTAAAAGCAGAGATTCATCAAAAAAAGATAATGCTGTCAGTCTGGTGGGGGGATCACAAAGGAATTTTGTATTTTGAACTCATGCCGCAGAACCAAAGGATAAATTCAAATGTGTATGTTGAAGAACTCGAAAAACTGAAGGATGCAATTGAAGATAAGGGGCCGGCATTATCAAATCGGAAGGGTGTTGTTTTCCATCATGATAACTCAAGGCCCTCCCCCCCCCACACATCTTTGGTTACTCGGCAAAAATTATTGGAACTGGGTTGGGATGTTTTGTCACACCCAACATATAGCCCTGACCTTGCGCCTTCAGATTACCATTTGTTTCGTTCCATGCAAAACTCTTTGAATGGTAAAATTTTTAACAACGCGGATGATGTCGGATCACACCTAATTCAGTTTTTTAATAGCAAAGACCAGACATTTTACGAAGGGGGAATTTTTACTCTGCCAGAACGATGGAAAAAGGTCATCGACAAGAACGGCCAATATCTAATTGAATAAAGTTATATTTTTAAACAAAAATTCCGAATTTGCCTTCTTATTTGAAATAGGCAATGACTTAGTTGCCAATCTAATAGAAATAAACTGTCATGTTGTTAAAAGGGTAACAGGATCTTTACATGCCGCTTATTTACTCACCATTATTTTAGTTTACATTAAAAGAAAGTCAACTATGTAAACATACTCAAAAATCCATTTACAAGAACATTTGATGTTATACATATTTCATAACGAAGGTAAGCAACGATATAAATTTAAATATTTGTGCTGGAATAAGGCCTTTCCTGCATCCTGCAGCAAATTAAGGCAAGAGACACTTCGAATTCCACCTACAGTGATTGAAATAAGTACAATTTTTTTTATCAATTCATGTTCTATTACATAAAACTTTCTCATTGGTTTGTACAACACTTCTAAAGTAAACTATAATTGTAAAGTAGTGTTATTTTAAAATTCTCTGTAATTACAATAAACTGTTAAAATATAAATTCAAAATAGCTTTGAACATTAAAGTAATCTATTAGTGTTTGTAATGGAAAGTTTGCCAAAAACATTAAAAAAATGATCCTTCTGGTACTCTGGAAGCGTAAAAATGTCTAAATATGTTGATGAGATCTATTTTCATGTTGAAATATCCCAATTCTTTTCACAATTTGACCCTCAGATACGTGAATAGTCTTGCATTTATTGAATTTTGATTTTTTAGACAATCTAAGTTCATATCATATCATTATGTCTATACATTTTTCACAGTCAAAATATGCAATTTGGATATGAAATTTCGCCTAAAAGTACTTTTAATTCAATGGCCACAAAGAGAGTGGGAGCATTAAAAATGGTGTAAAAGCGTAAAATGAGCTTCTATAAAATCCCAAAACCAATTTTGATTAAATTTTCATAGTTTATTAAATGAAAAAAAAACGAATTTGATAATAAAATCACTTGAGCGAAAGAAGCGCCAACAAATTGTTAGAGCTATTTTGAAACAATGGGGCAGGTTAGTGACTGGAGTTGATGCCGGTGAAAAACGAAATATAATAAATTTTTGTGACCATTAAAATTAAAAAAAAATCAAATGACTGCACGCAATGCTTCAAATGATTCGCTTTGGACTAGCTTTTCACAAGCGAATTGAATTCATAAATTTCTGAAAAAATTAACCACCTTATATGACGCGAAACGACCTTAAAAGCCAATATAATAAGCTTCGCTAAATTTATTATTACCAAACGTGAGCTGAAATAGCATCGTTTACAAAAAAGTGCTAATTTTTTACTGGAAGTATTTTGTGAGCGAGACACTTTAAAAATGAAACGATGTTTTCCTGCTTTGAAAACAAAAAAATATGAAAAGTTAAATATTGACAATTCATTTCTTGAAAATCAGTTTGCAATCTTAATTAAGAAAAAGGGAAATTATAAATTTTAATTTAAAGTGCATAAGTTTAGCATACTTTCTCTTTCCCCCTATTCTTAGAATTTGTCTCAAATAAATGCATTTGTATGAATATCTTTTTACAGTGTCATCTCTCTATAAAGGGCCTACCATGTGTGGCAAAAATCGAAAAAAATGCACAAACTATAAATTATAATTTCTCATTTTTCATGAGTTAACTTTCTTCCACATGTCTTAGTTGACTTTGTTTAATTAATCTTTAATTATAATGCATTTTCCATTACTAGGTCCTACGACCCACAAGAACAATACTAAAAGCAGTGTGATTAACAAAGCAACAGTTTAAATGCGTTTTAATGATTAAAACTAAGTGAGGTTTTAGATTTTATGCAAAAATAGCAAAAAATAAACATAATTTTGCCATATTAAATTATAAATTAAATGTGTGTTACCTGAGTTTCGTAATTTCGATATTTTTTGTATCTATGCGTGAATCATTGAATCGACGCTTCTTAAGTTAACTCTTATCGGCATCGGGTATATTTTTTATCCTCGTAAGGTATTTATCTGTTTGCGAACTTTCAATTCCACATTTTTTTCTCTCTGAACTGCAACATGAGAAAACTATGACTTTGTGTCATTCATACTGTGGAGTGAAACCACTTGGCATGTGGCAGTCTTTGATCATATCGTCACGCTCCCACCTTTGTTCGGTAGCAGTTTTTGGTCACACAATAATATCGTTCAAAAGACTGACACTTTGTGAGAATGGAGATCCATGTGTCCACGACTTACCGCATGTGTATACTCGCTCCTCAAACGAACATTCCCTCATTAATATTAATTAATTCTTGAGTGTGGCATTGTAATATGTACACTATAATAGTAAATGCTGACTTCAATTTATCTCGACTATGCCTCTTACTCATTACAAAATGTAGCACGCGATCAGAATTGGATGCATAATAAATTATTTCATTTTTTGCATTTTGACGGTAATATCG